AACTCACTGCAGTACCTCCTAGAGTATAGACATACCTTGTAGTGCTCATTCTGATGTCAACATTTCCAGCTAAGTCAGCATCTACATAGCCTGTCAGTATCGTATCTCCACCTTTGAAACAAAGTGCTTTGTTTGTAGTACTCGCAGATATCTGAGGATCCATTTGACAACTTCCCAGTGTACTTTTCCCGGATTATTCATGTACCTGCTAACAGCTCCCACTGCATGAGCAATATCTGGTCTGGTACAAACCATGGCATAAATCAGACTTCCAATTGCTGAGGCATACGACACCTTCACCATGTGCGCAAGTTCCTCCTCCGTCTTTGGTGACTGTTCTTTGGAGAGTCTAAAATGAATACCTAAAGGTGTACTTACTGGTTTAGCATCTTGCATGTTGAACCTAGAGAGTACTTTGTTGATGTACTCAACCTGTGATAACATCAAAGTCCCCGACTTTGTGTCTCTCTTGATTCTCATCCCAAGAATCTACTTTGCTGCACCCAGATATTTCATTGCAAACTGCTTCGACAATTTTTGCTTCAAGTTTATAATCTCTTGCATGTCTGAGCCTGCAACGAGCATGTCATCAATGTACAACAATAAAATAATGAAGCTATTGTCGAACCTCTTGATGTAGCAACAATGATCTGATTGGAATCTGGTAAAACCACTGCTACTCATGAAGCTATCGAACTTCTTGTACCATTGTCTAGGAGCTTGTTTTAAACCATACAAGCTCTTCTTCAACCTGCATACCAGGTTTTTCTTGCCTGCCTCTATGAAGCCTTCTGGCTGCCTCATATAGATTTCTTCCTCCAAATCACCATGAAGGAAAGCTGTCTTTACATCTAACTGCTCAAGATGTAAATTCTCTGCAGCTAAAATTTTCAACACCAGTCTGATAGTAGACAGTTTCACGACTGGAGAGAAAATTTCATTGTAGTCAATACCTTTTTTTGCTGAAAACCTTTGACAACCAATCTCGCTTTGTAACGTTTTCTCCCATCGTGCTCTTCTTTGATCCTGTAAATCCACTTGTTGTGAAGCGTTTTCTTGTCTGGTGGTAATTCAGCTAATTCCACGTCTGATTTGACATAAGCGAGTCCATCTCATCTTTCATGGAAGACTCCCACTTGACTGAATCCTCAACTTGCATTGCTTCATCATAGCACTCTGGTTCACCATTTTCAGTCAGCAACAAGTAGTGCAAAAAAGGAGAATACCGTTGGGTTGGTTTAGGAATTCTGGAGGAGCGTCTTAGTTTCGGTGTGCCTGGTTCTTCTTGAACTGCTTCAGGACTGATCTGAACATCATTTCCAGAAATCTCCTCGAACTCAACAAATTCCTTTGTTTCAGCTTTGGTATTGGAGTTGCTTGATTCTACAGTTGACCTGTCTTTGTACATCACATTCTCATTGAAAATGACATCTCTGCTTCTGATGATCTTCCGATTTTCATAGTCCCAAAACCGATAACCGAACTCATCACCGCCGTAACCAACAAAGGCACATTTGTTGGACTTAGCATCAAGTTTACTTCTTTCAGCAAAGTCTATGCGTACATAAGAAATACAACCAAACACTCTTAAGTGTGAAAGGTTTATTTCTTTCTTGCTCCAAACTTCCTCTGGTATTCTGCCATCCAAAAGAACTGAGGGCCCACGGTTGATCAGGTAAGCTGCAGTGTTGATAGCTTCAACCCATAGAAATTTGGGCAATCCGGCATGTATCCTCATGCTTCTGGCACGTTCATTCAAAGTTCTGTTCATGCGCTCTGCTACACCATTTTGCTGCGGTATCATGGGAACTGTTGTCTCCATCTTGATCCCATTATTTGCGCAGAAGTCTATGAATCTCCTATTTTTGTACTCTCCTCCATTGTCAGACCTCAACCGCTTGACTTTCAGACCAGTCTCATTTTCCACCATGGCCTTCCAATTTCTGAAGGTATCAAAGACTTCTGATTTCTTCTTCAGAAAATAAACCCACACCTTCATTGTAGAATCATCGATGAAGGTGACATAATATAGTGAGCCTGCAAGAGATGGAACTGGAGATGGTCCCCATACATCAGTATGAACTAACTCTAACTTTTCATCCTTGGGTGTCTTACCAATCTTTGCAAAGCTGACTTTCTTTTATTTTCCAAATATGCAATCCTCGCATAGTCCGACATCTACATTCTTTAGATCCGGCAGCTTCCCTTTTGAAAAAAATCTTCATCCCTTTCTCGCTCATATGGCCAAGCCTTTGGTGCCATAGGTTTGATTTTCCATCAGCATCTGCGGCTGCAATGATATTCTCTAAATTTGAGGTTACATAGAGAGTACCAGTTTTCTTACCATGAGCAATGGCGAGTGCTCATTTGGTAATCTTCCATTCACAGTCTGAAAAAGTTGTGCTATATCTTTCAGCGTCCAGGTGGTCTGGTTTGGCAACTTTAATTGGTTGTCTCCTTTTCCGACGATCTTCAAGGTTTCATCATCGGCTAGATGAACCTTCCCAAAATCACCACTGACATAGTTCTTCATGATTTCTCGGCATGGGGTGGAGTGGAAAGATGCCCTTGAATCCAAGATCCATGATTCAATCGGAGTGTTGACGCTTAGAATCATGGCATCACCTGTCTCCTCTGTCATGTTGGCAGATTCCTGTGCACCGGTATCTTTCTTCAGTGCTCGACAATCTCTTTTAAAGTGACCTTTCTTGCCACAATTATAACAGGTAAAATCTTTTTTTCCTGTTCTTGATTTGCCCCTTCTGGATTTCGATCTGCCATGATTTGAATTTCTTTATGAAGTTCTCCCTCTAGACTCCGTGTGCAAGGCTGAGGAGGTTGATGCTTCACCCGATTCTCTCTGTCGAATTTCTTCGCTCAATACCAGATCTCGAACATCGTCGAATTTCAATTTACTATTTCCCGACGAGATGCTAACTGCTGTAACAGTAGCATTCCAACTGTCTGGTAGAGATGATAAGAGAATTAAAGCTCGAACTTCATCATCGAATTCAATTTCCACGGAACTCAACTGGGTTGTGATTGTGTTGAGTTCATTCAGGTGTTGAGCCACTGATGCCCCTTCCGTCATCCGTAAATTGAATAATCGCCTCATCAAATGAACTTTGTTTGAGGCCGATGGCTTCTCATACATACTGGAGAGAGCCACCATAAGACCCGCCGTGGTATTTTCCTTTGCTGTGTTGAAAGCAACATTTCGGGACAACGTCAGTCGGATAACTCCGAGGGCTTGTCGGTCGAGAAGAGCCCAGTCTTCATTCTTCATGCCCTCTGGTTGCTTTCCTGAGAGGGGTTGATATAGATTTTTCTGGTACAGAAAATCTTCGATCTGCATATTCCAAAAGCCAAAGTCCGCACCATCGAACTTTTCAATTTTCACATTCCCTTCGTCTGTAGCCATCGCTCCCACTCGAATCTGGCTTCTTCGGATCGTTTCTGACAATTTGTGCGAACCACCGTGTATTATAACACCTCCGTCGACAAATTCGTATCGCCGACAAAATTTCACTATTCACGAAATTTACTATTCACGTGAATAGTAATGAATAGTAACCTCGCAAAAAATTGACAAAATTCACAACCCAAAAGCTCTGATTACCAGTTGTTGGGAAATAAACGAGTAACAAGTAATTTCCCTATAGCCAGATTAGCGAGAATATGAAATAAACGCGGAAAAAATAATACCCGAAAAATTGATAACGGAGTTCAGCCAATTGTGCTTACGTCTCCGGACTGCTGCAGATCTTTTACTAAAGAGAAAAAATTACAGGTGTTTACAAAACACACTTGAGAGAGAACTGGAAGATTTTGGGATGATTTTGAAGCTAAATGAGCTAGGGTATTTAGTTGAAGCTTAGGGACTAATCTTTGAAAATACCCTAAAATACAATGATTAAATGTGTGATTAACCCATTGTTCAAATTCAATGAATTCAAGCCGCCCCACTTGCTCAGTCGCCCATTTAGCTAGCAGCCCATGTGCTGCCTTTGTTGAAAAATATCAAGCAAAGTCGGTGCCCCCACCAAGCAAGCTGGTGCCCCCCTTTGACTTTTCTTCTAACACTTAAGACTATAATAAATATATAAAATGGAAAAAACATTATATGTACTCCTTAAAAAATAATACATGATTCTCCACGTATTAAGTGGCGGAGTCACATATACTTCATGGTGGCCACATGCTCACCCTGAAATATGATTTTTTTTTATTTCTTATTTTATTGATGGTGTCTATCTGAAATTTTATTTGTGTCAACCCTGAAATTTTAATTGTACCCACTCATTCAAAAATTATGTTACTAGCTTATGTATGTCCACCCTCATAAATATTTATGGATTCGTATGTATGTATTTGTAAAATCTATTTTCTTTTATCTTTTTTAACTTTATAACAACCTTTTTGATTTGTTTGAGATAGTAAATATAATATAATATAAACAAAAAAATCAAAAGTAAGTAAGGAAATAACGAAAATAATAAAAACTTGTGATATTTTTACTACTCCATAAATTGACATGTTCAAGGAGGGGAAAATACTACGAACATGAACATGTGAAAAAAAGGAAAAATGGTCTTAAGATCCGAACAATCCTCAGTCCAACCTAATGTTCTTAACCAAGCCTTCGACCGAAACATATGGGAAACATAAACATCACAACAACAACAACAACAACCTCAATAACAACAAATGCAAAAAAGGAAGAAAAACCAATCACCAAAAACCAATAAAGATTGTAAGAACAAATGACATCTCTCCCGCAACGCACCCTACAACACAGCTATAGACTCCCAGTCATTTATTTGTTCATCGCCATTATTTTACTCTGCATCCTATACTCAAACCTCTTGTTGACCAAAAATGACACTAACAACTACCGACATCTCTCCACCAAACTCGACTCATCACCCTCAAACGGTTCCTCCACAACCAATTCCTCATCACCATCTTCGCCTTCAAATAACATCGTACCGTTAATGAAGCCACACCGGTAGAGATCGTCGAACCGAGAGGACACTACAACCGCTACAACACTGAGCTCAAACACATCGCGTTCGGGATAGCGTCGTCGTCGAACTTGTTCGAAACCCGAAAAGAGTACATCAAAGCATGGTGGAGGCCGAAAGAGACTAGGGGTGTAGTGTGGGTGGACAAGAAAGTGAAGAAAAACACAGACGAAAAATTACCTCAAATTAGGGTTTCTCAAGATACTACGAGGTTCAAGTACACCAACAGGCAAGGTTCTCGATCGGCGTTGAGGATCACGCGTGTGGTTTCCGAGACGCTTAAGCTCGGGATGAAGGATATCCGGTGGTTCGTGATGGGGGACGACGACACGGTGTTCGTCGTCAATAATGTGGTGAGGGTGCTCTCGAAATACGATCACACGCAGTTTTACTACATCGGGAGTGGATCGGAGAGCCATATTCAGAACATATTCTTTTCGTATGCTATGGCGTTCGGAGGTGGTGGGTTCGCAATAAGCTATCCGTTGGCTAAAGAATTGTCGAAGATGCAAGATAATTGCATCCAACGATATCCGGGATTGTACGGCAGTGATGATCGGATTCAGGCGTGCATGGCGGAGCTTGGAGTGCCACTCACCAAGGAACTTGGTTTCCATCAGGTAATAAAATTACTTCTCGAGTGAACGTTGGTAAAATTATGGTTTTGGTCCTTATACTAAACGTTTAGATTAGTCCATGTATTATATTCTTGGCATAATTTCATCCTCATACTATTATTTAGGCACACCTTAGCCTTAGTCTAAAAGATTAAATCACTAACAGAGTTTAGTCACATCATGATTTTGTGGCCTTTATTATGGCTAAATATGAGATCTAGTCTTTGAACTTTGATTTGACATAATTTTATCTCCCTATTTCTAGCTGATGTCATATTTTTCTTAAGCATCTAATTTAAGTGTAGGAACTAATCTAGAACTTAAATATAATTAAAGGGTTAAAAAACACAATTTGACCTAAAGGTTTTCATGAATTATTTTATGAAAAAGGACTCAATCATGATGCATACCTAAAATTTTGAAGAATATATTTATATATATATATATATATATATTGTAATTTAGTATTTTATTTTATATAAACCCTAAACCTTAAACATGAATAGGTCTAGTTTGAAAGTTTAAAACGTATGATTTGATGCTCTTCTTGATACTCAACCAAGAATTTGGAAGGGTAAATTGTTGTCACCTTGTTTTGTCTACAGTATGATGTGTATGGAGATTTGGTAGGCCTCTTGGGAGCCCACCCAGTGACTCCATTGGTATCACTTCACCACCTAGATGTTGTGGAACCGATCTTCCCCGGGATGAAACGAGCCAAAGCAATCCAGCACTTGCTCGAGGCCGCCAAAGAAGACTCGGCCAGCCTGATGCAACAATCGATATGCTACGATTCGAATCGGTTTTGGTCCATCACCATCTCTTGGGGCTATGTGGTTCAAATCATGAGGGGAATCATGTCTCCCAGGGAGCTGGAGATGCCGTCGAGAACATTTCTGAATTGGTACAAGAGAGCCGATTACACTGCTTATGCATTCAACACCAGACCTGTTGAAAGTCACCCTTGTCAAAAGCCCTTCGTTTTCTATATGAGGAAGGTTAAATTTGATCGTCCTAGATGGCAAACCATCAGTATTTACTACCGTCACAAAATTAAGAGTCGCAACTGCCGTTGGAGAATACCCTCTCCGGAGAAACTCGATTCCGTTGTCATCCTGAAGAAACGTGATGATCAACGATGGAAAAAGGTACGATAATTTATCTTTCTCCGTGGACTACCAAGGAAAACTACGATGATAAAAGAATGTTCATAATTTTTCTTAATATATTGACAACGTGCACACATTCTGTGCGTCTGCTCAAACTTAAATATCATATAAAGAATAACATTCTCTTGTACCACCATTGAAGCTGTTTTGTATTGGTTTTTTGCAGTCACCAAGGAGGGATTGTTGCAGGGTAATGCGATCAGAAAAGAACAACTCAATGGTAATATCAGTGGGAAAATGCAGAGAGGGTGAAATCAGTAAGTTTCAACTATCGAAAAAGCAGTCATCATAGGCCATTTACTTTTCAAAGATGTTCTTAGTCTTCCTTTTTACCCCCATAGCCCAAGGCATACATGAAATGAGTCACTCACTCGATCTGGATGTAAATCTGGACAAAAAACTTGGAACTACTCCAACAAGCTCAGAGAAAGCAAAAAAAAAGAACCCACAATATGTAAATCATTGAAATGAGTCTAATACATTGAAAATTCATTCTTGAGGGTGCTCTCTACGTGTGTAATTTTCAGTTCAACAAATCAACAACAGCTATATCTTTTTCCTCGTTATGTCTATCTATTTTTACCATGAAGTATATATATTCTGCAGAATCGTTTCGGATATTCTGGCCGCTTGAACAAAAAAAAAAAATAGACAACGAAAGTATATTTTATTACTTTAAATAATTAATTTAAAATTACATTAATAAATCTTATAAAAATAATTGAATTAGACGACTAAATTATAAAAGTTAAAAGCGGGATTAGAAAATTAAAAGCCTCAATTATATAGGAGAAAATGAGATTAAAAAAATTAGGGACTTCAATTATAAAGTTATAAAGTGAGATTGAAAAAAATAGGAGCTACAATTATAAAAGTAAAAAATGAAATTGAAAAAATTAAGAGTCTCAGTTATAAATATAAAAAGTGAGACTGAAAAAATTAGGAATTAAAAACAAATTTAAAGTTCCAATTATAAAGATAAAAAATTAAATTAAAAAATTGAAGATCTTAAACAATCGTTTAAAAGTGCTTTTCTAATAGTCAGCTTTCATATCGTCTACGACAACTTTCAATATCATGGAAAAATATTTAGAAAATATATTATTTTATAATCACCTTAACTTATTTCGGTCAAACTTATTATTCTACATTGGTAAAATGATTCATATATTTTCGTTTTGAAAAACTGAATTAATCATTTAATTAATATAAATGTATTATTTATAACCTAAATAAAACACTATTTGATGATGAAAATTTTAAATTCCCTCTTATGCAGTCGCGTTTACAGGATATGTAAGCCTTATCAATAGGTTACGAAAATTTTAAACAAATATTATCTTGTAATCACTAAGTATATAAGGCACTATTTTATAGAGTCCTCCGACCATTAAAAGTTATAAAATAGCCCCCTAACTATAAGAAACTATTATATTAAGTCCCTCAACTATTAAAAGTTACAAAATGGTCACATGACTATTCATTATGTTCCAAACTTGTCATCTTCTGTTAAAAAATTAACGACAGTATATTGAATGTTAATTTGTTGTCTGTGATATGATAATAGTTTGAGATTATAGGATCAAATTTTATCATATCTCAGACATCATTATTTTTTTTAAAGAGAGAATTTTGTATGATTTTATTAATCAATAATTATACAAAACGAGTTAAAAACCCTCTGTAGATTTATTGGAGGAAAAATAGTGCACCATGCTCATCAAATCAACAAGACACAACAATCCTTTTCAGCTTTTCTACATGTAATCAGTGGTACCCGATAATCATATTGAATGACTACACCCAAACCAAGATGTCTCATATGAACCTCAAACACTCCCTCCTTGGATTGCCACGAAAGACCTAGAACAACCATTATGGACGTTAAAGGGCCACTAACATCTTTGTTAAATCTTACTCAGTTCACCACACACGAGGATAGAAACTCCAGGACTTTGCAATCTCCTGCACCCCTTATATTAGAACCACTATCACACCAGCAAAACAAAGATTCTTTAAATAGGCACCAATGAACCGATAGCTCTCCACTACACAACCAAGGCTTATCAGAAGCACTAGATTACCCAAAGATAGCAATACAACTATAATCATGGCCTAATTTCTCCAACGTACCATTCTTCTAATGGCACTGATAGAACATGTTCGTAACCGAGATCCACCCAAGCAACTGCACTCACACACGTCCAAAGCCCTAGCCTTACCCTAGAACCACTCCCTCTTGGAAAACTAGAGACTAGACTTAACCCGCAAACCTTTCAACCTCATTCACTCTCCTTTAAGTAGGTAAAATCATAACCTGAATTAAAATAGTACGAGGGGAACCCTCTATTATGAGAACTGAACACCATACAGCTTTGGAATTGACACCACATCATACCCTGTTCGAGAGAACGCAGCAGGTAACAAGTCTAGGAAACCTCTAAAGCACCATTTACGGGGCAACAGAGCCTTAATCCCAGCAAGACACGGCGCAAACAGAACAAACCTAGTTAAATAAGATAATCTTGTATTGATAAAAGCATAACTTAGGCGAGCGAGATCAACAGGGAGAATGAACCAACTCAGAACCGGGGTCACCTGCACACAACATACAAAACACTAATCTGACACTTTTGCATCGGCTTCTATGAGAACATCAACACTATCAACGCCAACCAATACTCCAATTATCAAGCATGGGACAAAGTCTATCTAATCAGCTTTACACCACTTGAGATTCTGCGCATGGGGTGTTTGAAAGTGATCAAAAGGTTAGGCACCTTGAGAAAATCTAGTACCGAAATATTGGATTCAAGGCACAACCATTTATACCAATGCTCGATCCTCAACACAGCCAAATCAAATAATTGTCTCTCAGTACAAGACCTTTTTTTGAAGATTACCTCGTTTCTGAACAGCCAGATGGACCAGACAAATCCAAAGAATGCAAGGCTCCAAAGTATTCTACATTCATTTGTCACCAGGAATCTTCCCAATAGAATATAAGAGCTTTGAAATCTCTTGGGCATACAAACTAATAATTCCAGAAGGCAAACCATCTTTGCCACACCCTCCAAACTACTTCACATTGACAGAACAGGTGATTCATTGTTTCGCAGGCCTTTGCGCAAAGAACACAGAGGCAAGACTCCAGAGGGACAACACCCCACTTTACTAGTTCTCTAAGCACTGGGATTTTATGAAGACAAGCCCTCCAGACGAAGGTAGTTCGTCCTTTCGCAGGCCTTTGCGCAGAGAACACATAGGCAGGACTCCAGGGGGACAACACCCCGTTTTACTAGTTCTCAGATATCATATTAACATCCAACTCAATATGTTGTTAATTTTTTTAATGAAAAATGATGAATTTAAAAGATAATGAATAGTCAAGTGAAGGATTCAACAAAACAAAATGCTATAATCAAGGAATCAATCTATAACCTTTAATAATTGAGGAATTCAACAACCCTTATAATTGGAGATCATTTGCATAATTTACATTTCTTTTAAATCACTAATTGATAATTAAAAGTACCTTAAACACTGTTATATTACAATCAATCTCGATTTTATTGTATTTTTTCTTCTGATTTTGCTTAAATTTATGGTATACTACACGAGTGACTACCCAACTATTTTTTCTATTCATTTTGACCATCGATTTTTTTATTTCATTAATCATATCACTCAACTATTTAAATGTTTCACTCAAACCACTTGCCGATAACTTCTAACATAGGAGGTGGTGTAACAGTTAAAAAACTTGGTATAATTAAATATTTTATCTATAATACATATATATTTTATCAATTTGGTCCTAGTGTTTATTTAATTTTAAAAATAATCATCATTCAATAAGATGGTAACACATGTTACTACGTGATTGAATTTTTAACTTTAATTTACTTAATTTAATAAATTTTTCATCCAATCAAATCATCCACATGTCATTAAATAAGTGAATGGAAAACAAATTGGTCGAAAGTGTAGCGTTGGGTTTTGAATCTGGGACGTGGGTATAGAGGAATGTCTTAACCACATGATAGGCACTATAATTAGATAACACAATACAGCATAATATATGATATAATATTGACTCAAAAAGGAAAATAGCCTAGTGAGGACTCGAACCTAGATTAATTAAAGAGTATGAAACACATAAACCACTAAAATAAAATACACAATTAAATGAAATATATCTTAAATTTTAAAATAAAAATATAATAAATTAAATTATAAATGTGAAAATATATACTTTTTTTTATAAAAATGAATATAAAAATATATTTAAAATAAATATAAATGTGGAAAATAAAAAAATTAAATTTAGTTTACAAATATAAAATATTATAAATTCATTTTTATTTTAAATCTTGTATTAAGTATGGTTCATGGTATAGATAAATGTATTCACATATTAATTATTTACCGCATTTAATTTAGTGGTTTATGTATTTTCCTACTCTTTAATTAATCTAAGTTTGACTCCTCATTCAAACTTATTTTTCTGTTTTTTTACTGCCATTAATAATTATATATATGTATATTTTGTTGTAATAAATAATTAATTCTAGTGTATAACATAGTGGTTATGACATTTTTATAAGTTGTTCACGTCTTGGGTTCAAGAACCAAAACCCACTCTCAACGCCATTTGATTGGATGAAAAATATATTAAATTAAATAATTCAAATTAAAAAAATCTAATCACACAAAGACATGTGTCATCATCTTGTTAAAAGATTATATTTAAAAAATAAATTAAAATTGAGACCAAAATAATAAAATGTATAAATATTATAGACTAAATATGTAATTATATCAAAATTTTCAATTGTCACGTCACCTCATTCGTTAAAAGTTAGTAATGAGTGAACTACTTAAATAGTTAAGTGATCTGATTGACGAAATCGAAACATTAGTAGTTAAAGTGAAAAAGAGTAATAGTTAAGTGGTCATCATATTGTTTACCCTAAATTTATATATATATATATAATTTAAATTTTATAGAATTTATTTTTAACTTCAAATTTATTGGACTTGAATCAACTTACCCAGGGGTGAGTAACGAAACCGAGAAAATCGAAAAATCGACACGAATCGAGTAAAACGGTTCGGTTCGATTCGGTTTGGCTTTAAATGGTTCGGTTTTCGGTTCGGTTTAAAGGCTTCATTTTTTTGATTCGGTTTGATTCGGGTTTTCCATATGGAACCCATTTGTTCCATATTGAACCGAATAGGCAATTTTTGTTAAAAAAATTATAGTTTCAAGTGATTTTTTCATTGAAAAACCGAAAAATCGAACCGAACCGAAAAACTCGAACCGTTAAAAAACCCGAACCGAACCGAAAAAACCGGTTTCGATTTTTTCGGTTTTTTAATTATTCGATTTCGGTTTCGATTTAAATATTGAAAAATCGTTTATTTCAGTTCGGTTCAGTTTTTAGTAAAAAACCAAACCGAACCGAACCGAATAAACTCTTACCCATACTAATATTCTTTTTCAATCTCTAAAAAGTTTAAATAAAATTGAATTAATAAAATAAAAATCATTAATTCATGTCTCTGAATTTGAGATGGATTACCCGGCCTTTAGCCCATTTGTAAGCAGGGTGTGTGTTGGATTGTCAAAGGGGCTTTAGAATTCCTCAGCAGCATCGCCGTTTTCAACTGCCTTCAACTTCGGAGTGGATTCTTCTGGACAATACATCTTCAACCAAAAGTTAGTTTTCTTTGTTGGCTTAGAAATGGCAACGGCCAGATCAATTGCGCTAAAAGCAGTGAATACCGGTCTATGGAGTCTAAACCGGAGTTTGCCCAAGGCCCCAATCGTCAGGGCATTGTCGACAATCATGTCTCCGCCTTCCAAAGCAGTCGTCTACGAGCACCACGGCCCACCAGACTCCGTCACCAGGTCCCCAATATCCAATTTTGGTTTTCCTTTTCCTTTCTTTTTCTCCCTTTTTATTGATTATTGTTGTATTTAAATAGAACGGTAGAGCTATCCCCAGTAGAAGTGAAGGAGAATCAAGTTTGCGTTAAAATGTTGGCTGCTCCCATTAATCCCTCTGATATTAACCGTATTGAAGGTTTTGATTTTTTACTTCATTTGATTAATTAGTCTTGATTTTTGATTACTTGAATTGGGTGGTTTTAAATGATGATGATAAGGATAAATCTCAAATTTACACAACTTTGAGTTAATGCAACACGTGAAGTTTAATTTGGTACAACTATGCGCATGAAAATTTGATTTTGGTTTTTTTTACTATAAAACTTTGCTTTCGATTCTATTATACACGTTTAAAAAAAAAACAAATACATCCATGTGAAGGTCAAATAATGGTTGTAGTGGTTTGTGAAAATTGAATAACCGAAAATTTCATTTATGCAATTACACAAAATTAAAGTTCGTGTATTACTTGCACATTGACCAAAGTTCATATAAAATTTTGAGATTTATCCCTAGTATTAATAATGAAGGTAAGGCTTTTGTAAGTAAAGAAAGAGTGAATTTTTGGTGTGTAGGAGTATACCCTGTGAGGCCACAAGTGCCTGCAGTTGGAGGCTATGAAGGTGTTGGAGAAGTATATTCTGTTGGTTCTGCAGTTAAGGGTCTCTTGCCGGGTGATTTGGTCATTCCGTCTCCACCCTCCTCTGGTTTGTTCTTTGGCACCTTTTTCTACTCCATTGTTATTTTACTTCGAATGCCTCACGTTTAAAAATTGGTAATCCGACATCTTTTTCTGGTTATGTATCTTCAATTTTAGGTGCTGAAGTTCATATCTCAAAGCACTTTTAAGTTGGAATGTGAAGCAAATTGCTGTTAAAAGAAGTTTGGGTGCGAAATAATAGAATGGCTAGTGTTATCGCACTTGGTGTTATTGCACTTAGTAGAGGCAATGCTCTACTTATTAGTAGCTGAAACTTGCAAGCTGTTGGATTTTCATTTTTTGCATTTATATTATTTTAGGATTCTTTCTTTTTTTCTCCTTGGAAAATTACATGTTTTCAACATTCCATCTTCAACTTAACAAAATTTGTTGACGTTTCTTTCAGTTTCTCATTTATATACCAAGTAATGGAAGGATAAGTTTTTAGACTGGTCTTTTGTTCTTCTTGATGCAAAGGTTAATTGAAAATAATTGGCAGGAACATGGCAAACTTATGTTGTCAAAGACCATGATTCGTGGCACAAGATAAGTAAAGATTCACCAATTGAATATGCTGCAACAGTTACCGTTATCCTTTGACTGCTTTAAGGATGCTTGAAGATTTCACAACTTTAACTGCAGGTACAGCTGTTGATGTGGTATTTGACAGTGTTCAAGTCTCTATCACATGCTCTTCTTGATTATTCTTGTATGGATAGGGGATTCTATCGTTCAGAATGGGGCCACCAGCATTGTGGGCCAATGTGTAATCCAACTTGCAAGATATCGTGGCATCCATAGCATTAACATTATCCGGGACAGGTGCTGTACTTAGCTTCTTGTAGGTATCTGAATGCCTTTTTTAACTGCACTGCTTTCTTTCTTTATAAAGATGGTGTTATCGGTTTGGGATATTTTGTTAATTGGGAAGTTGCTGTCATCGACTGCAAAATATTTTTTAGTTAAACTATTTAATTGATTGTACTTTCTTATCAGTTAGGGTATTTTTAGGCGATACGTGCAATTTTTTCCAGTGCATCTTTATTTACCATCCTCTGCTTGCTTTAGGGCTGGATCGGATGAAGTAAAAGAAAAACTAAAAGCTCTTGGTGCCGATGAAGTATTTACTGAGAGCCAACTGGAAGTGAAGAATGTTAAGAGCCTTCTGGTATTATTTATCATTAATGGAACATAGTATAGTTTACTGTGGGAAGATCCTTGATCTTTACCGCATGGATTTCATGTTATTAAAGTTGATAGATATCGACTTTTTCGCTCTTCACCCGTCTTTTCCATTTGATTTGTTATTGTCGTGGTAGTCAAAAATACCCGAACCTGCTCTGGGATTGAACTGTGTAGGTGGAAATGCCGCTTCTTTGGTTCTCAAGTTCTTAAGGTCGGTCAACCTCCCCTTGTGAAGTATTTGATGACCTAGGACATTTTTCTTGTAATAAGAATCTAACTTCCATTGGAATGCAAATTTTCAGGCAGGGAGGAACTATGGTAACATATGGTGGAATGTCCAAAAAGCCTATCACCGTATCAACTTCCTCGTTCATTTTCAAGGTAACGAAGAATTAGCCTCTTTCTTTATATCGTGGCTCAGCGATGTCCCACTGTTAGTTATAATCAACCCAAGTACTGCACATTTTACACGAAATAAAAAAGATGACTTCCGAATTATGAAACAACACATGTTCTCCTCTCTGTTTGCAGGACCTTTCCTTGAGAGGATTCTGGCTGCAGAAATGGTTAAGTGCCGATAGAGCGAAAGAGTGTAGAGATATGATCGATTACCTACTATGCCTGGCACAAGAGAGGAAGTTGAAATATGAGTATGTACACTCTTGTACCCGATCTTGCTTGCCGTTATGCTATTCGATTATCGCTTGTGGGAAAGCCATTGTGTGAACTTTTTTTGTTTTCATAGGATGGAGTTGGTTCCATTTGACAATTTTCACACTGCATTGGACAAGGCACTAGGGAAACATGGGAGTAGGCCAAAACAAGTGATCAAATTCTAAATCTCTGCATCTTTCTTCTTCGATTATAAAGGTGCTACTGTGTGTATCAGGTAGATGGTATACTATTATCAAGATACATTAATGCTTTCATGATATTGAGATATGTTACTATCAATAAAGAAATGGCATTTATGATTTCTTCATCCTTCTTAAGATATTGAAATATAACTATTAGGATACTCCAGTCTAGTCCCTTTAAGATTTTTTTTTAATATATTGATCTAACAAAAATTACGCAGGTTAAGAAAAAACTTTATTTATTCCAGACTATTTTCTCAAATCTTTTCCTTTTTGTATTTTTTTTCTTAAAACTTTTAATAATATCTAAATAATCAATATAAGTCATTACTGAAAGTATGTTATGTTACTGTGCCTCGTGTCTTGTTGAATGATATCCAACTGACCGTTTTGTGTCAATTGAGTTTCGTACAATTTATTTCAAAGTAGTTGATGACTTGGACATGGCGCATAAAGTTGAGAAACGAGGGAAGAAAATGTTGACTAATGGTTGTATGTTTTAGTCGCTATATGGTTGTTTCAAGTGATCACATGGCATTGTTTATGCATCATGGGAAGTCCAATCCGATGAGGACTGAGTCGGATTCGGATTTATTCATCAACGTGAAAAAAAGGCTTTAAAAGAACTGCTGAACCAAATGAAGGAAATTGATCCTGATCAAATTAATTATGCGGACATTGATTTTATTTTTAGAAAGAAGGCAAAATATTTTACATTAATTACAATTTCTTTCAAAAGCCGAATAAAACCACTATTCAAAGGACACTAAAAGCACAGAACTTACAGCACAAAACACCAAACATGTGGATACGCTGTATTGCAACGCCACAAAGATCTGGACATGGAGACGCCTCTGCTAAAACGGCAAAGTTCATATTTATAGAAGCAACTTACCATGCTTAAACAACATTTATTAAGCAATAAAAATGAATCTCTCATCAAAGCAGCAGTTCATGCTCAAAAGTAAACAAGATTGTTCAAGTAATCTTAAGCAATGCCTCAAAAATTTTCTCATCTAATAATCTAACTAATACATCGAATAGTTGTCACTATCCCCAGGCCTGATCCTGTTGTAAATTGCCAGGGCAATAGGAAGAATACCAGCAAGTGCAATCTGAAGTTGATCTGAGCTGCTTGTTCGAACAGTTACATGTCCGCTCATCTTGTTGTTCAGTTGAACCCCGTCTAACAGAAAATTGAGACTGAAAATTGACACCCAATGCCAAGTTCCCCATCCATTTGACAAGAGACATGCCCAAAGTGGATTGATCTTGGCCGATTGGAATATCTGCTTCTCGGAGCTGCATTTCTACATTGGCTCCGTATGCTGAATCACCTTGTGACCTAGCAGTCCCGGTGCTACCAACAAACATTAGTCGCTTTCCAACAAGAAGTTGATCCTCTAGTTTGAATCCAGTACCAACATTCTTACCTAGAAATGTGACTGAAAAGCCTGCAGTTGTTTTGTTCTTATTGATATTTTTGAATTTGGTCTCCCCTCTTAAAACATAAGCTATTGTTTTCCAAAATTTTGGATGTCAAAGCCAGCCATGGTTGATCCATTCTCACCATGCTTTGCAGAAACTAAAGAATCCAAATGCATGTTAAATTGTTTCTTGTCCTTTGTGAGTTGCACGACCACTGCAGCAGGAAACCGGTTGGCAATGGCAAGACTACATTCAACATTAACACAATCATAGCTACAATCATGGTACCTGTATGCTAGATTATCGGCATCAAAGGAAGGTGGAAGGACCATATCAGGTAATGGAACTGGTACAGCAGCCGGAGCACCGGTTTCCTGATCAACATCTTCCCCCATGTTACCATATTCATCGACGGCAGGCTTTCCTTTCTTCATCTCTCCACTGCTTTTTCTGGAGGAGCTTCACACGGTAATCATACTCCTCAAAATATGCCTTCCTTTGCTCGGTATGTAACATCCCGAAATCTGGGTCAGTGATTAAAATGAGAAGTTTTGAAATTTGATGATAAAAGTAGAATAGTTTAATAGTTTAATGACTTATTGGAAATATAGTTGAAGATTGTTTGATAATTATTGAATGAATTAAAGGGTAAAATGGTCAATTGACAAATAAGATTTTTATTTCCCTTTATAAGATAAGGGAACCATGTGGAAGAGGAAAGATTTCTCCAGAGTTTTCTTCTTCTCATTTCTTCTTCTTCACGTGAAACCATAAGCAAAGGTAAGATCTCTTGTTGGTTGATATTTAGCCGAATTTAAGATTGGGTTTTGATCATTAGATGATAATTAAGCTTAAGAAAAACTTAATTTATCTTAAAACCATAAGATAAAGGAGTCAAGAGAGATTAAAGATTAGAAGTTTTTAAAGGAAATCTTGAATGAAAGTTGATAAGTTAAATTTGACTTGTCAAGGGTCTAATTAAGAAGTTAGAAGCCATAGAATTGGAATTAAAACATGTTACAAAGTTGGTATAATTCTTGAGTTACATATGAGGAATATAATTTTGAAGTTAAAGATGGTTTATATGGATATAAATTGGTTTAAGCATGTGTATATGAGTTAAGAACATGAAAGACGAAGCATTTGAATTGATTTGAGTGGATTTTCGTGCACGAAATGGAATTCTGGGCTAGTGTGCATCGGTACACATTCAACCTGTACCGATGCATCAAGGGTAAATTTCCAGAAATTGTTCAGTGTGTATCGATGCACAGGAAGTGCATCGATGCACCCCTTAAAAATGGAAATATCGAATGCAATTAGTGCATCGATGCATAGGGAGTGCATCGATACACCCGCTAAAGATTAAAACATCGAAGGTGCTTTGTGTATCGATGCATGGGTAGTGCATCGATGCACATGTTAAGGGATGCATCGATACACTGTAGAATGTACCGATGCACTTCAATGGGAAATGGAATAAATCTTTCTTTCATTCTAAGAAATAATAGATTAAAGTATATCAATTGGATACTGATAAGTATCAGTATATGATTATGTAGATATCGAGCACGAACAAGTTCCAAGACGACTATCAAGTTAAGATTCGATCGAAAGAAAGGAAATCATAAAAGGGGATTGGAACTTAGTGAGACCAAGGTGAGTGCATCTTATTTTAATATAAGGATTATGTGGAAATTGAACTTGCGATAAGTCTAATTCCTATAGTTGTAGTGCATTAAGTCATGAATATAAGTATGTGAATTTCCTGATTTGTATGTATTCATGATTATATGTATTGATATGTTTTTTTATGTGCTATATGACTTATGTAAAAATACTATTATGTGATATATGAAAAATGTAAGGTAAACTACATATAAATGATGAGACGTGTAAATATATGTACATAGAGAGAAATAAGAGAATAAAATATAATCCATATAACAATGAAATATGAGACTATGTGAATACATGTCTATAAGATAGATTACGTAAAAATAGGAGAATATGATATAAGTGAGTTTATGAGAAGTGATATGAACTGGGTAAGCATGTATAAAAGTTATATGAACAATAGAAACATGAATTGGGTAAGTACATAGTTAGGTGATCATTTATATGCATTAGTATAATAGAATTATACGATTTAATAAGAATTGAGATAAGTTAAATAAGATTGACCATAGAATGAAATGAGAATAGTATATTAATTAGGAAGCTTGAACATAAGTGATGATACGAACATATAAGATAAGCTATAAGGGGAAAACTCATGTACTTGAATAAAATTATGACATATAAGATATGTGAAATTGAACTAAGTAAATATATTAGATTAATATATATATAAGTGAAATGATAGAAGTGATACATGTTTATAAGTATGTCATAGATTACATGATATAGGTAAATATAATAGAAGAAGCTTAAGCTATTGAGATTATATAAGTTATTAAAATATGATATATGTGATTATGAGAAGAAGAACATAAACCATGTGAATATAAGTATAGGTAAAATGATATATATATATATATATATATAACTATATATATGACTATGAGTTGGAATAATGTTATATGATTTATACTAGGATAAATTATGAGACTATATGTGAAATGAAATGAGTACATATTTATATGATGAGATGGTGAACTATATGAACATGTGAATATATGTCTATGAGAAGACATAAGAATAAGATATAAACAAGGTGATAAAATGTGAAATGACGTGTAAAGTTAATATAAGTTTTGTAAAAGTGATCTACGTGATTATATGTATATGTGATCCAAGTTATGTGACCTAAGATAAATGAAAGGTGAAAGTGAATTATGTGTCTACGTGAATACGTGAAATGACATAAATAATAATGCCCATGTTATGTGTCATGAGAGCTAGGGATATAGTTGGCATGCCAAGAGTCGAGGGTCTACGCGGTCCTTTGGGACATATATGTATTCCTTGGAACATCTGTGATGTCTTTTGAGACACATACTTGATCCTTTGCATATGTATATGATTCTTAAGGAATTTTCTACGCGGTCCTTAGGGACATTTTATATGGCACTTCGGTGCAATTCTACGTAGTACTTCGGTGCAATTCTACGTGGCACTTTGCTGCATTTATATGAGTTATAGTGACAGCATTAGTGCACAACCTCAATAGACTCACATATCTATAGTTCTTAAAAGTGTACATGGGTTGAACAAAGAGATAACAATGAAGATAATACTTGTGAGAAAGCAGCCATGAAATCAACAAATGTGGAAGGAGGAAATTTAAAGAGAGTAATATGACATAAATTTTCTATTGAATATTGAATGAAACTCTTCATCAACCTCATACAAAGGTATGACTTATATAGTCTAAGTAAGCAACACACCATAACAAACTAATAACAAGCTAATAACAAACCATAACAAACTAATAACAAGCTGATAACAAACCATAACAAACTAATAACAAATACTAACTAATCTTTATTAACATTCTAATATTCTAATATTCTCCCAACTTCTTCAACCTTCTTGATGAAAAGACGAACACTCGAAACGAAAGTGCGATACATCTTTCCGTTCGACTTGAATCGGAAGTGGCGATGCTTCCTTCCGTTTTGATTTGAATCGGAAGTGTCGATGCTTCCTTCCATTCAATTTGAATATGAAATGCTGATGCCTCATTCCGTTCGATTTGAATCGAAAGTGCTGATGCCTCCTTCCGTTCGACTTGAATCGGAAGTGTTGATGCCTCCTTCCATTCGACTTGAATCGGAAGTGCCGATGCCTTATTCTGTTCAACTTGAATCGGAAGTGTCGATGCCTTCTTCCGTTCGACTTGAATCGGAAGTGTCAATCCCTCCTTTCGTTCGAATTGAATCAGAAGTGCCAATGCCTTCTTCCATTTGACTTGAATCGAAAGTGCCGATGCCTCCTTCCGTTCGACTTGAATCGGAAGTGCCGATGCCTCATTCCGTTCGACTTGAATCGGAAGTGCTGATGCTTCCTTCCATTCGACTTGAATCGGAAGTGCCGATGCTAACTTTACCATCAGAGACTGCATGACCTGAAACAAGGTTTTCTCATTATTTTTAGCATCTTCAATAACCTCTTCATGTAGATCAATTCTGCATGTTTGACTAGACCCACTAACAACAGGATTGACGGTATCATCCTCAATATCGCCCATATCACTGATGGGGTCCTGCTGGGATTTCAGTTCTATAGAACCTTTTTCTAGTTTCTTAGAACCAGTAGAGTGGTCATTGATTTTAGAATGAAGACCAGCTCTGAGTGCTTCTGCCATTTGTTCTTGAGAAGATGATGGAACAAGAAGAGCCCCAACATTTTCTTCCCCTATCAAGATTCTATTGAATGAGTTGTTTCTGCATGAAACCGCATTCAGATCTAAAGGCCCATATAACTTTAAAATATCATTATAACTGCCAATGCTACCAGTATTCTCCAGAAGTGAGGTAGACTTATCAGCTGTGTCTGGTGAAGCATGAGGAGTCCTTACAATCCCATCTTCAACATCTACGATTGGTCTTTAGATCCAGACCCCTTAATTTCAAGATTCACATAAGGCAGAAGATTATCAATCCCTAAAGCACTCAAGCTGACACTAGATTCAGCTTTCCCAATTTCAGAACATTTTTCTGTGTTCCCCAACAAAAATTAATTCATTGGTTTCAACATCACAGGCTCATTATTGTTGTTCTCATGGATTTTTGAAGCCTTAGAGTTCTCAATAGCAACAGCTTTTAGAATACGCGAATCAACCTCTCTTTTCAAGCGAGAAAGGGAGAACGATCGGAGAAAAATAAGAGGACGAGGTGAGAGTTTTGAAGAAGGAAGAAAGTGAGAGTAAAGGAACTCAATCGTCGGCGTAGCGGCGGAAGAGAAAATGACGTCAAGATCTTTGGCGAATGATACCATGTGAGAAAGCAGCCATGAAATCAACAAATGTGGAAGGAGGAAATTTAAAGAGAGTAATATGACATAAATTTTCTATTGAATATTAAATGAAACTCTTCATCAACCTCATACAAAGGTATGACTTATATAGTCTAAGTAAGCAACACACCATAACAAACTAATAACAAGCTAATAACAAACTAATAACAAGCTGATAACAAACCATAACAAACTAATAACAAATACTAACTAATCTTTATTAACATTCTAATATTCTAATAGTACCTGTGAAGTATATGCTTTGTGATATGAATTGTATTATATGATGATATGATGATGTGTGTATGGTTTGAATGAGTCATATGTTGATAAAAAAAGTATGATTAAAGGATATAAATGATAATAATATGGATAATATAATAAGATTAATGATGGAAATAATGTGTGATGTGTATATGTGTACATTATATTATATATATCATGAAGTGATATGTTCATACATGTTTAAGCATTTAGAGTTTCCTTTATAAGTTTAATGTATCACTAAGTCATAGACTTAGCATGTGATTATTTCACACGTAGGTTACATAAGCGAGAAGAGAAGCGAAGAAGAGCAAGACAGGTCAGCATCTCCCTTACAAAATTTCAGATCAGAAAATAGATGATTTAAATGTGTTTGGTTAATTTGAATATAGTTAGCATGTACTAATTGATTGAGTTGAATATGATCTGATCGATTTTGATTATTTTGGTCAATTTATGTAAATAAACCGCTTTTATTTTAATGAAAGTTTTAAATTTTCTTTGAATTTTGTCAAGAGTCAAGTTTGAAAAGTCAATGTGACACCTCAGACTCATATTCGGGTCGGGTACGGGTTGGGGGTGTTACATTTAATGGTATCAGATCTAAGTTTTAGCCGATTCTAGGCTTAAACCGAAGTCAAATGAGTTTTAAAAATGTGTACATTCCAACATAAAGTGAAAATTTCTGATCTGATAGTGTAAGGAGTGTGTTGTCTTGCTAATAGAATTAGATTACTAAGTTATAATAGAAGTATGATTATGATAATTCCGAAATAAAGTGAAAGGTGATATTCCTGATTGTTATAGCTTTCACCTGCCCTGGCCAGGTAGGATGAAGAGCGGATACCTTAGGAAGTGCCTCATAAAATCAAAGGTTGATTTCAAAAGTCGAAATCATATTAGAATAATGATAGAAGATTTTCCTAGTTTTGAATCAGAAAAGTGATGTGAAGTATTCTTATTATTCCTTGGATAAGATAGAATATGGTGAACAAGTGTCACCATAAGAGCGTTAAAAGATCAAGTGATGCAGTGAGAATTGATAGAAGAGTTTAAGAATAAGTGTATTAGTGACAAGCATATAAGATGTATAAAGTCAGAGCTTATGGGTTTGAAACAAAGGGATAATATTGTGTATAAGCAAGAGTGTGTATATGATAAGGATTTTCAGTTAAGATGAAAAGAGTTAGCGTTGGCTAACCAGAGTTTGTGATGAAAATGTATTGGAATTAGAAGATGATGTCATGGTAAGTTAACCAAATATGATGCAGATTTGGATATGGTGGTGTATTCTGAGTATGAAATTGTAAGGTAGTAAAGGAGATAAGGACTTGTATGATTGAGGGAAACGTAAGTAAAAGTGATGATAAAGAATGGTGTTCTGTATAAGTAAAATTGACTATCAAAATCATGAAAATGTGATAAGGAGTGATAGTTAAGGATAAATAAATGAGATATAAAAGAGCAAATGAGTAGTACTGTGTATAAGTTTGAAAAGTTGAGTAAGATATCGCTGAGAAATATGCGATAAAGATCGGTAATCAGAGATGAGTATAAGTGATAGAAAAAAAGTATGTGAGCATGAAATAAAAGATATGACTAATGTATAAGGAGATTTTGATTTTGAATGAATAAAGGAATAATGGAATAAGGAAGTGAAAAGGATTGAGTTTAAAGGATCAGATATAATAAAGGTTATATGGAAGTGTAGATGATAAGTTTGATATAGAAGTAAGAGAAGTGTGTAAGGTGATGTGAAAAGATTGCTTAATTTCGTAAAGTGTATGTTTAATCATATTTGAAGAAGATTTAAGGTTGTGTTCTTGGTCAAATGATGATGGAAAATGAGTTTGGTTATTGTTATAAGGTAATTAGAGATGGATTCATGAGGTTAAGTGATGAAAATTGATGTTACTGTCTACGTGATTAGTGACATTATATGAAATTTTAGAAATGGTCAAAGGAAAATACAGCATAGAATGAGAGAAAAAACAAATGGATTGAAGTGACTGGTTGTTGTTTAAAAGATAAGTGATAGTAAATGATGTATAAGGAAAAATGTAGTTGAAAAATTAAAGGAAGGAAATGTTAAGTAAAGGAGGAAACATGCGAATATTAGAAGATATGTTCTTATTGATATGTTCAGTGAAAATTCGAGGACAAATTTCTTAAAGGAGGAGAGATTTGTAACATCTCGAAATCCGAGTCAGTGATTAAAATGAGAATTTTTGAAATTTGGTGATAAAAGTATAATAGTTAAATAGTTTAATGACTTATTGGAAATATAGTTGAAGGTTGTTGGTAATTATTGAATGAATTAAAGGGTAAAATGGTCATTGACTAGTAAGATTTTATTTCCCTTTATAAGATAAGGGAACCACGTGGAAGATGAGAGATTTCTCCAGAGTTTCTTCTTCTCCTTTCTTCTTCTTCACGTGAAACCATAAGCAAAGGTAAGATCTCTTGTTGGTTGATATTTAGCCGAATTTAAGATTGGGTTTTGATTATTAGATGATAATTAAGCTTAAGGAAAGCTTAATTTATCTTAAAACCATAAGATAAAGGAGTCAAGAGAGATTAAAGATTAGAAGTTTTTAAAGGAAATCTTGAATGAAAGTTGATAAGTTAAATTTGACGTCAAGGGTCAATTAAGAAAAAACATGTTGGCAAACAGTGGGGCATAATTTCTTGAGTTACATATGAGGAATATAATTTTGAAGTTAAAGATGGTTTTATGGATATAAATTGGTTTAAGCATGTGTATATGAGTTAAGACATGAAAGACGAAGCATTTGAATTGATTTGAGTGGATTTTCGTGCATGGAATGGAATTCTGGGCTAGTGTGCATTGGTACACATTCAACCTGTACCGATGCATCAAGGGTAAATTTCCAGAAATTGTTCAATGTGTATCGATGCACAGGAAGTGCATCGATGCACCCTTTAAAAATGGAAATATTGAATGCAATTAGTGCATCGATACACCCCCTTAAGATTAAAACATCGAAGGTGCTTTGTGTATCGATGCATGGGTAGTGCATCGATGCGCATGTTAAGGGATGCATCGATACACTGTAGATTGTACCGATGCACTTCAATGGGAAATGGAATAAATCTTTCTTTCATTCTAAGAAATGATAGATTAA